CTTTCCAAAGCGTTCCGTTTAGCCGTTCCACTTGTCCGTTGCCCTGGGGGTTATAGGGAGTGGTTCTGCTGGTAGCTATATGCCTGCTATGCAGAAATTCTTTGAGTTCGACGGACATGAATGAAGGGCCTCGGTCCGAGTGAATATAGGCTGGCATACCGAATATTGAAAACAGTTGACATAAACAACTGATGAGTGTCGATGCTTTCATATCCGGACAAGCGAAAGCAAATGGGAATCGCGAATACTCATCTATGATCGTTAGCAGATATTTGTTACGAGTAACCGAAGGTAAAGGTCCTTTAAAGTCGATGTTCAGGCGTTCAAACGGCCGGGTAGCCTTTATTAGTTTTCCCTGTATATGACGATGAAACCGAGGTTTTATTTGCGCACATACCCTGCACTGTGCGCCAACGGCCCTAACTTCGTTCAACGAATATGGGAGATTTTTCGATCTGACAAAGTGAAACATTCTTCGGACTCCGGGGTGGCATAACGAGGTATGTATGGTCAGCAGTTCGGAAGAATTAGACACGGAGCTACAAAACTGGCGGGATAGTGCGTCGGCAGCTTGATTCTCTTTGCCCGGACGATAAACGACATCATAACTGAAGGGAGAAAGTTCGATGCGCCACCGTAGTACCTTATCATTTTTAACTTTACCTTTATGGTTAGTATCATACATAAAGGCAACAGATCGTTGATCCGTTATCAACTTGAAGTGATTACCAATGAGGTAATGTCGCCATTTTCGTATAGATTCAACTACTGCATACGCCTCCTTTTCAACAGCGGAATGGCGTTGCTCAGATGGAGACAGTGTTCTGGAGAAAAAGGCCACTGGTCTTCCGTTTTGATTTAGGGTGGCTGCGATTGCCACATCAGACGCATCTGTCTCGACTACCAACGGTTGTGTGTAGTCGATAGAAACAACCAGGGCGTTAGCCAGTTCCGATTTCAGTACATGAAACGCCGTTTTCACCGATTCAGGTAGAGGAAATATTTGGTTGTGCACGAGTGGATAAATTTTATCAGAAAAATGTGATATCCAGTGCGAATAGTATGAAAACAACCCGATCGCTCGCTGTTGGGATTTTTGGTTACTGGGTAGCGGAAGATTGCGGAGTGGTTGCAATCTATCGGGGTCTGGTTTGATAGTACCTTTAGATACTTCATAACCTAACAACCGTACAGTTCTTGTACAGATTGTACTCTTTGCTTCATTGAAAATGAGTCCGAAACGCCGCGCCACTTCTTTGAACTTGGCTAAATTAGCATCATGTTCTTCCATAGACTTACCACATATAGTGACATTGTCTATATATGCAAAAGTGTCAGCCAGTTTCTCTTTGGCAATGATTTCATTAATTGTGCGTTGGAAACAAGCAACGCCGTTCGTCACACCGAAGGGTATCCGACAAAATTGGTACAAATTGCCATCAGCCTCGAAAGCAGTATATTTACGTTCGTCGGCGCGGATAGGAATTTGATGATAGGCACTGCGTAGGTCGAGTGTGCTGTATAATTCATAACAAGCGATCTTTTCTATCATTTCATCGATGCGTGGGAGTGGATACGCGTCCAGATACGTATAACGGTTAATTGTTTGACTATAATCAACCACCATTCGTTTCTTGTGACGCTCGTTGGTTGTGACCAAGACTTGAGCGCGCCATGGTGACGTTGATGGCTCTATAACTCCATCACGCAACAGGGTATTTATTTCCTTGCGAATAAAAAGTTGATCAGGAAAAGACTGACGTCTGGTTTTTGTCGCGACAGGTTTACACATTGGTGATAGATTCTGGAACAAAGTCGGTTCAGGAACCTTAGCAGCTGTCAAATTGCAAAGGGAAACAGGTGGTCGGGAACCGCCGAATGGTATTTCTAATCCCTCGTGCAGGTTGAGGAAGTCGTGACCGAGCAACACATCAGCACATAGATGCGGCAGAACGGATAGCCTGACATTTTTGTAATCGAAGTCTTTTAGCTGTAGGTGCACCAGACAATGTCCAAGGGTATCACTCACAAAAGATGTGTTAGCCATAGAGATTTTGCTTCTTGATTCAAGTACTCGCCAGCTATACTTATTGACGACTGATGCTGAGATATAACTCTCAGAACTACCAGTATCGACTAGGGCTTGGAGACGGACACCGTTAACATGAACATGGCTAATCGCTCGTTGTAGGCATACGGGAGCAGACGCAACAGTAAGCGCCGACAACAAAGATTGAGTAGTCGCCGTCTGTGGCTTGATTTTCTGTTTGGAACGACAAACTGACTGAAAGTGACCCTTTTTACCACACAGCTTGCATATGGCATCTCTGGCGGGACAGGCTGTTCGCGGATGTCGGCTATAGCCACAAAAGAAACATTTATTAGTTACCGCAGAAACCAGGATTGTATCTTCTGACTGGGCTGTATCTTGAATTAAGCCACTTTGTGGAGCAGCGTCGCAAGGGTTGGATGAGACGGGTACTTGATACGACAATGCCTGTTTGTATGCCGATTCTAATGCTTTAGATTTTTCTACGGTTTCACGTAGCGTCAACGTATGGTGCTCCAACAACCTCCGGCGGATTTGAGTAGACTGAATGCCCAATATAAATGCGTCCCTGATAGCTTCGTCACGACGTACATGGCCTATCACACTTTGATAATTACAATCAACAGCTAACGTCCGTAACCTTTGCACATACTGATCGAGTGTTTGCTCATTGTCTTGTTTGCATGTGTGAAGAACGTGTCGAGCGAAAATTTCGCTTTTGGTGGGGCATAGATTGAACAAAGAGTATCGACAGCTTCTTTGAAAGTGGTGCACTCAGAAACGGATTTATAGACAGAAGGAGAAATATAATTGATCAAAAGTTCCAGTTTGTCCGGATTATGCGTCTCAATACAAGATAAAAAATCGGAGAATGTACGATACCAGTGAGTCCCTTGGTCGGTTGCATCAGGAACGTATGGATCCGCGTAAAATCTGGCTGGTTGAGCAAAGCGTTCCATGGATGAGAAATAATATGTTGAATAAATTGTAGTGGGAGTCGATGACTTAGTTAATCGATAATTGATCCGTTGAGTAGAATGAGAAGACTTCGCCTAAGGATAGGCTTTATTCAACATATAAGCACAGTATAGACTGAAATGACAAGTGAAAGTGAATTAATGGAAATAGCAGTAAAGCGTAACTTTCACTACAGTCACTTTGATCGGCTGAGTCTGAACGAAGCTGGCATAATTTCGTGGAACGCCACTCATTCTGACGTTATGCTGCCGTGGTACCTCGCGTATTGAGACGGAAGCTTATCGTCGAATGCCATGAGATGGCACATACATGGTGCACCAAGACGTACGACTTACTTCGTCAGAGGGCCTACTGGCCCGAGATGAGAAGTGAGGTGATGGATTATGTGGTGTCATGTAAGCGGTGCCAACTGATGAAAGGAGACACGACAGGGGCAACCCATCCCGCGGAAAATATTCCTGTCTCAGAACTCGGCGAGTTGCGGTCCATTGACGTCATGAGCCACTTTCCGGTGGCCACCAGTGGAAATGAATACATCATGATAATAACAGAACACCTGTCGCGGTGGATCGATTTGGCAGCCGTGCCTAATCAACCTGCGACGACGATCAGCGGAGTGGTAATGCATCACATCGTGGCTAACCATGGCCACGGCAGTGAAGCATCAGTGCCAACACTGATGTTGCTGTCTTTGATGATGATGATGATGATGATGCCAAAAATGATCCTAGCCGATCAGGGGCCTTGCTTCTAGAGCGAAGAGTTTAGGAATTGCTTGCTGAGGCTGGGTATCAGACGCCTAAGGACGGCACCATACCACCCGCAAGCAAATGGCCTAACCGAACGTACTAACGAAACGATCAAGTGGTGGCTGGCAACCTAAGTAGGTGACTGGAAAATGGACCTGCCAATCGTGTTACTAGCTCATCGTGCTTCCATACAGCCAACTACAGGCAAGTCCCTGTTTATGCTGATGTACGATCGACATCCACGCCTTCCGGTTGATCAGGAAATTAGGTTGCGGACGGCAACACGTTTGTATCCGGGGTAGCTAAGGGAGGAAAGGAGGAATCTCGAGAAAAATTGACTACCGTTTAGGAAAGGACTAGGCAGAAAACGGCAAGTAAAAAGGCTCCACCATTCCCCATAGGGGCGAAGGTCAAGTGGAATGATTATCAGAATCCTGGAAAGAGTGAACTTGGGTCACGGAAGCTAGGCAGTCGACGGCAAGGGCCGTTTGTCGTTACCGACCGCCGGGAGAACGTCTGTACGATTCAAGTCGGTCGGGGATCAAAAAGAGTAAATGGGACGCAGCTTCGTAAGTGGTATGATGCACCCGGAAAGTGGCCGAGTAGACCCGCTGCCGAAGCCGGCCTGACAGAGGTAAATGAAAATAGCTGGCATGCGAACGACTTTTAAAGGGGGAAGGTGTGTAACTATGATACTACTGGTGGGGGTGCGAGTAGTATGTTCTGTCGTAAATCCGCTTTGTCTCTTGAAAAGTGAGATCTAATGCGGAATTCGTGGAGCTTTGTAGCATTTGCTTGGATTTGAGCATGCATCTGAATATTTAGGAAAGCTCAAGAAGACGCGTTCAGGAGAAGATGGATATTCAGTTTTTGTGAACAAGATGCACATGAGAGTTTTGCCTCCCTGTCCAATATTCTGTATCTGTTCAGTTGGTGTTTCATAATGAACGACTCTGCAGCGAAGGCCTTCTTCCTTTTACTGATAGTCGTACTTGTCTGTGAGTCCTGCTGCTCTTCAGAATTTAAGTGTCACGTGCGTGCAATCACGGGTTGTCTACTGAACTGCAGTACGGAAACTTGTCATGGTGCGCCGTGGCGACATATCCGTCGAATTTGCGTTGCTTTGATACCCAACTTCACTCCAGCCCGTGTTGGATTCTTCCTGATGGACCGATTTACCTGCCATAGAAGGAGGCTCGTCCACATGGCCCTCCTGTACATAGTCCTCAGCTAATCAAAGAAACCAGACGTCTTATCTGACCAATGTAACCGCGGCAACAACCACACGTCGCCTGACCAAACGAGATAGCGCGATCAGCAGGGATGTCAGTCTAATAGTAGGTGGGTGTTCGGGGAAAATTAAACGGCGTGCATATTTTTATTGGATTAATGCAGTTTTTCTATCATCCCAAAAATCACAGGGCTAGCAATGCAACCTCCTGCTTTCCAGTTATTGATGAACTTCCGCAAAGTGTTCTTGCATCTCCGAGCTTTTTTCCACTGTTATGTCCACTTCGTCCTATGTCCAACTAATCAAGCCCTTGGTTAGGCCCCGTATCACCGAAGTTTCATTTCGTTTGTCGTGGACTGGCGAGACCTCGTCCCACTGTCATGACTATATAAACCATACCTTTGCATAACCCATTAACTCGTAATTCTCACTCTATATTTTCAGTTCATGTACTACCGTTATTAGACGATTATAGCGTACATTACGCCCTTCTATTCTGTCTCCTTTCTAATCTCGTCCAGGAACTACTCGACTCTCTCCACCTATCGTGACCACAGAAACCTTTTATTTTATAGTACAATGCTTTCGCGATTACCATTGCGGATATTTCTAAGATCAGCCGGCTCGAATTATCTCTTTAGACTGAGCACGAAATCCAATTGGCTTGATGAGGGCCAACAAAAAGCAGTTGTTGAGAAAGTGGCCAAGGAACAGCAACAGTTTGAAGAACAATTGCCGCTGGCAACAGATGAGGAACCTACTATTTCAGACGTGCCTCAGGCGACTGCACAGCTGTCAGTAAGTTTTTCATATTGTCACGTTAAGTGAAAAAATAGGTGTCTGAGGGTAAACGGCCGCCCTCGACCGCCGTCGCGTTCGTCCCTTGGACACTTGGCCGTTTATTGCAAGAAATGAATGTCCGGAAACTTCCTTCAAAGCGTATCCCGAATGAGGAGCAGTCATTTCCAACCCTTCTCCGGAATAGCCCTTTTGTCCAACTGGGCGACTTCAACTCACGCGAAGTGAGTTTACTCCTATATACACTTTTTTATCGCCCTATACTTGGATACAATATCGCTGCTTCAATTGTCGTTTAATGGCATTTTATCCGCGTTACCCAATTTTTTCTATCTGATTTTTCGATTACTTTGCCAAGAGTGAGATTTTGTAGTCCACATAAATGTTTCCCAATCATGGCACCGGTAATATTAAAACCAGGATTTATGGAAGGCACATTGTCCAAAGGATGTGGATGCATGGATGTTGTCCCAACCTTTCAAATCTTTTCAGGTTTTCGTCTCACAGAAGGCGTCCGTGAGGGTTCGCTTTGATTTCGTCATGCGCTTAGTGGCAAATGATTCAGGAATACCGAACTCTTGTGGGGTGTTTGATATAACCGTGGATCTGTTGAAGCTCTAGTTTTCGCCCCGGGCATTGGTAGGTTTCTTCAGCTGTCAAATAATTGAAGGAAGTGCTTTCGCCTCATAATGAAAAACAGTTATGTGTACATATTAGTGCACAAGTGGCGATAGCCATAATACAAATCAGAAGGTGAATGTGCACTAATAAAAGCTTTTAGTATTTCTGCGACACGTATAAAAATAAATACGATGTGAAATGGGAGGAAGTAAAAAAAGGGAACTTGTCGGATGTGGGAGTCCCTTGGTGAAAGTCCGGACGGGGGTAACTTGTTTTCTCCGCAGTTTGGCTGCTACACGTGTTCCATGATTGTCCGTGGACTTGGAGTGCTTGGGCTGACGCCTTGCTTCCTGCGCGCGCGCGAGTCTGTGTGTGACCTGACTGGGTTCGGTTTCCCTTTATGTAGGTCCCAGTGCGTACACGTGGGCGCGTCGGCACATAAGTGTTGATACGCTGACTAGGCGGTGCAGACAATCGATGTCCGATGAGTCAGCTTAATGCGACGTGTTTGTGCGTATGAGAAAAAAGACAAGCCTCGCGATCCAGTGAGCGACTGGGAGTTGAACAGTCAAGTATGTGGGTGACTGGGTCGCTACAGTACACCGAAGATTGGTCTATTGACTTTCATACTCAATTTTCAATTCATGATAAAATAACCTGAAACGGAATCAACTTGAGGTGTTATTCCGAATGTGGATTTCATGGTGACATTGAGGAAAAGTTTACTTTTGTAAAGCAGTCGGTGCTATTTTAACGCTTTCGTTTGTTTATACTCAGAAGCTACTTCCTGAACTTCCCTTCTGGGTTTTGTGAAATAAGGTCGAAGACGAAGGTGATGGATGTCTCGTGAACATTCTTTCATTTATCTATGTTCAGGTTATCGGAGTTGTTATTGAGAACGTCAACGATACAGACCTTTATATTGACTTTGGTGGGAAGTTTCACTGTGTTTGCCCTCAACCTGCGAATCAACACTATCCCCGCGGTAGTCTTGTTCGCATTCGCCTTCGCGACCCAGAAATGACCAACAAATTTATGATCAATACAAAAGGCATTAGTCTGTGTGAAGCGGACGCGACACTTCTGGGGCCGTACCGAGGACGTATCGTGAGGAACGCGTCGGGGGAAGAGATGGAGGTGCCAGTGGTCCCGGGCGATACTCGGGGTATTTCTCGTCCAGCCACAGAAAATGACAGTGTTTGGTATGAAAATTGGCGCCTACTCTGATTTTTTTTTATTCCTAATCCTATATATTTTTAGAGAATATATAATTTCTTCCCCGCACTTGTTCTTTCTGAATGGTTGTGAAATCAGATGACACTTCCTTTCGTTTTTAAGGGGAATTTTGCTGACCTGGCATATTTACCTGCCGCTTCCGTTGAAGCACAAATTTCGAGAAAAGACGGTCACGTGTGATTATATCAGAAACCTGGGTTGACAAAAACGTGACAGCTTCTCGAAATCCCTTTGGATGAAAACCGGCAAATGAACGAGTTGGAAATGGTGAAAGACTGACTGAACATCATTTTCAGCCAAATTTTTCTCATTAGTCCCACCACGCTACTCAGATTCACGTTTTAGTGCAACCTACTGACAAAGTGATCGGTAAGTTGTTTCAACAGACTAAACTGACCATTTTGACATTGGATCGAATCAGACAGTAACATCATGAACGAAAGGTTCAGCTGGTGAGTCTCTCGCAAAACCAAATTAGTTTGCAAAGGAATGTACTTCGCAAACAGTGATTGCTTCAATAGTGTTTTCACTTCGAAGGCGAGTATAAAACAAAAACTCGAAGGTTTTGCTGCGCTACTCCTTCACAACCAAAATCTGTCGCCCTCTGACAAAGTTTACCCGCGTGAAAGACATGTAAAACTGACGTCTGAGCGTTTTACCTAAGTAGCCCACATGTATTATTGGCGGGCAGCTAACATGTGATTGGTAGGTAGGGCTATTAGCTGTCTTGATCATGTCTTTCAATGGGCAAGAGGCACCTTGATGAGTAACCCAAATTTTGGCTGTGGCTGGGTTTCCAATGTCTCAACAATCATCCCACAACAGTGTCACGCAGCGCGCAATTTTGTAAACCTCATTCTTTTGCGGTACGGATATTCTACAAATACCAATAGAAAGTCGGAGGTGAAAATCTGTCGCTTTGTCTCAGTGTGCGCTCATGGATGGCACCTACACAACCTCGATTGGGCGGCGCAAGGTTTCTGTAGAGTTTGCTTCAGTTGTTCCTGAATTTCGGTAATAGTGATTTCTCTGCTGTTTCCAAAGCGAAATGTGACCTACTACTATCTTTCTAGATTGGACTGATGCTTTATTTCTCTACTCGGTGCTGCTCACGTTCCGTTGGATATGGTCACAATACTGCTTACCTAGTTATCTAGTTTATTTACTATGGGATGACATAACTCAACAACTGAGGCTTCAGACTTGTACTGTCGGAACATGCAAGACAGTGGTCCAGGGTGAGACCAACCTGTGGTCAGTTGCCTTCTGTGGTAACGTCATAGCAACGTCTGTAACGTAGCCTGCAACGTCATACGTGGTCACCAGGGCTCCTGAACTTTGGGAGCGTATAGGGACGTTTTTCGCGAGGACATAGGTATGTGGATTCCCTTAGTTTGGACAGCATAATTAAAATAACAAAAATACTCCGGAAGTTTGACTGTTACGTCAATGCAGGTGACAGCGAGTATATATGGATAACTTGATAAGATGCAAGTGCAGCTTCCTCATCCTCTAACATGTGCCTGGCGCCCATAAAGTGGTATTATGCTACTGACACCACTACGACGCAACAGGGCAAAGTGTTTATTTTCGTTAGTACAGGGTCCGTCAACCGTTTGAAAAGCACTCGTGGGTTGAAGATATCTGAAACGTCAGGTGGTTCAGAAATGCAAAAATACGCCTCATGGTGTTTGGAGAAAATAACTCTATCGACAGATTGACTGGCCAAGCTTCATGGGCTAGGGCGTGTAGTTCGCACTTCAGAAGATGATGATCCTACCCCGATTGAACACAAACTCCAAGTTTGGGAAGCAGTCTGATGGTCAGGGTAACACTGATCCGACAGCAGGTCTCAAACAAAATGAGTTGTGCAACATATTTGGGGGTTTAAATAGAAGAAGTAACGTCAGTGATGAATAAGAGTAAGGTTGAAGTTGGGAGGCAAGTGTTATCGATTTTACCCAAAAATGGCGATTCACAGCTAAGCTGTCTTTATAAGACCGATAGTAGATGGCATTGTTTCACCACCACATGAGCCGGTCAGATTTCTGGCAGGTATCCTTAAACCGATTTCCGTCTCACTTCCGAAATTCGTATGACTGCCAAAAAAGTACCTGGGTTTCAGTTAGAGCTATACGAAGTTCCCGTTAACTTTGATGTCAACTCAATGTCCCTAAAGCGGACGCTCCGACGGTAGCGAGGGGGCTGTTGCTGGCAGACACAACGCTGCAAGAACGGACGCAGCTCTCCGTAGACGTGACAGTTGAAGGCATAAAAGTATGTCTAAATCTCAGTTATCTTGTTTTTGATTCAGTTATATACTCGCAAGAACAAGGTCTAGCCATGGGATCACCAATATCCCCGATTTTGGCCAACGTACATGGAAGTCTTTGGAAATGAAGCTTTAAAAGGATTCCAGTGTCCGCCAAGGGGGTTCCGGCGTTACGTAGATAATACGTTCGTTGTAATAAAGCGCGCCAACGCCAACAAATTCAATATCTTAACACTGACCCTCACGTTGAGTTTAGCATGGAGCCAGAGTCCACATCGGGTACACTGCTCTCGCTTGACTGCATTACACACGAGTGGTGGGAAATTAAAAAACCGCCATCCAACGGAAATCAACAGTTGGTAATTCGGTCTTAAACTAGTTCTTATAACATCCAAAAACAGTATATGCTAGTATAGTTTCAATAATGTTTAGGAAATTAAGAGCACCATGCACAGAGCAGGTCGACCGAAGAGCAGTACAACTTGAGGTAAAAAAGCGACTTCAAGATAGCGGATATCCAGTGGGTATTGATGTCAACACGGCCCAACGCAGAGTGGATAGGAACGGCGGTCATTATATACGAAACAGGGACATCTGAAGTTATTGAAAGGATGCTGAATACGACTAACCCCGGGAAAGCATTCCAGAATGGAAAGAATTTACTCTCGGTGTTGGTGCAGTTGAACGGTCGCCTTCCGGTTGATAGGATTAGGAAATGTGTATACAAAATAAAATGCAACGACTATGCGAGGGTTTATGTACGCCAGACAGCCACGGAAGTGCACACCAGAATCGATTAACATAAGCGATCTATTAATGGACCACCGAAAAACGAAGGTGAATATCAGGCGATAGTCAAAGATTTGGCAATGGCAGGTCATGCACTAGACACTGGGCACAGGATAGATTAGGAAAATCCGGACATTCTGAGACAGGGTTCAGAGTTCACATCACAGCGTTTGGTGGCCGAGGCGGTCGAAATCACCAAGCATCCCAGCGTGAATAGAATAGAGAGCGTAGAACTCAAGTGAAGAATATCTGTGAACGACCCCCAGGAGGAATATCTCCGTAGCCGAAAAAGCAAGACCGCAAAATCCAGTTTCAACATGAAGACAATCCCTTTAACTAATCTGTCGTAAATATTAGTCATTCTCACTAACCAGCAAACATGAACATCAGACCGACACCCAGCACTGATCAAGTCAGCTAGTCATAAGACATCTCACTGATTGGTTCCCTGAATGCCTCAAAACCCGCTCAACCTGTTCACTCACTTGACCTGACGAAGCTTTTGTGTCAAAAGCGAAACGTTACCCGGCAATAAATCCATCGATCGTTTACCAAATACCTCTGAAACGATGACTACCCAATTAGATGAAGTAAATGCTTTTCGTGGAGGGTCCTCTTGGAAAATCTGTGATTGGCTTCCGAATGCTTAAGATCGGGTCATACACCAGCCAGATCGCACAGTGTCTTTCGTGAGTCCAGTCGGTCCGTGTTCGTCAGGGATATCGCACCGAGCTATATCGAAGCTAAGGTAAATACAATCACTTTTATATCAAATTGTTTTTCACGGGAGACGCATTTGAACATTGTGAGTAGTTATTTTTTTAATGAAAATACACCAAAGTTGGTACGCGCGCGATCACGAACCCGTTCGACTGTTCAGAGACCCATACATCCTATCCTTTGCATGGTTTATTGACCGCCACGACCTACTTGACAATGCTTATTTCGCCGCCAAATTTTGGTGGAGGTTGTTCTAAGGGTTCAGTGATGTTTAGACTCTAGCGCTGAATGTAGTTTTTGCTTTGTCCTCACCCTTGTTATTTGCCGTAAGCACCCTAAATGGCTTTTTACTTTTCTGTCCAGTTGTTTTCCACTGCCTGGATATCTGTTTTCATATCGAGTAAGGTTCGTGTGGCTATAATCCAACCGTAATCTGCTATGTTTCTTCACAGGATTCCGGTGATATTGTACAACCGAACACCAATACAGGGCAGGCGGAGCCCACAAGGCCACTTAATTTCAACGAGTCTATCTTAAAGTGTACTGTGGATTTGCCTGCTGGTGTAACTGAACCTGTTAAGGGATATGATTTCAACAAGGGTATTGAATTTATGGCCATAATGAATTCCTTCCGTTCGACTGGCTTTCAAGCCACACATTTTGGACGGGCTGTCGATGTGATCAACATGATGGTTAGTTATTCTGCTGCTTTTTACTTCTACTGATTATTTAACTTGAACGGGGTTTTCGTTCCTAAACATTGATTGAACATGTTTGTTTAATTATCCAGCTAATTTTCCGCCACCCTGCATGTCTTCATTAGCATTCAACTGTGGCTGTGGCATTTTGTCCCCGAAGATTAATAAAACTTCGAAACGAATCTTCGGATCATATCGATCATCGATTTCAACAAGCACATAGAAGTTTGTCCATTCCTATCAGGTTTGTGGTAATTTCTTTCTTGGTACTCATTTCTCCCATCAATGTGGTCAACGTACATAACAGGGCACTCGCTTTCTACGCGTATCCGGGCCGGTGAGGCAGCAGGTTAACCCGAATCGAATTGAGTACCCCTTTCATTCAGAAGGTAGTGGGGTATCGTATGTGTCGGGTTGAACATAATATGGATATTCCATAACATGTGTTACTTCTACCACGTACAACGAATAGTGCATTTTAATTTGGAGACATCCCCAAAAGAAGTACGTACGTAGATTTTCGAGACCTTTTCGATTCGTACTCAGCCATATCTGAACCAAGAGGCGAGATGGCTCAGTGGTTTGAGCGCGATTTTACTGAGCGGAAGGTTTATGGTTCGAAGCCGATCCTGCCTCTTTACTTCCCCTGTTTAGGCTTGGGCAACCTGACAGTATCCTAGCTATCGTGCTTCCATCTGTTGACATGCCAGTTGGGAACAAAAAGGGTGCTACAGCTGAACAATTTTATATCTGAATCAACCTCTGTCCGATGATGGTTTTGGGAAAACCCACCATATCCTTCTGGCACGCGTTATGTTTTCACCCGGTAACATCGAATTTAATGAGCAATGGTGGTAGGACAATACGAAAACTAACATGATGATTAACTAGTTGTGTATCAATTTGTTAGCTATAAACCATGTAACAAAGACACGGTGGTTCCGGTGGCTGCAGTTTCGGCCACCAGAAAATGGATGCACAGGGGAGATATGACCGGGCATTGGAGGCGATGGCGGAGTCAGTTAGTTGGTGTTGGATCAATCTCATTTAATGAAGAAACGGTAAGCTGAGCGGCTATGCATTGCAGACGGCAGCTTTGAGGCGCGTGCACCACTAACTGCGTGATTGGGCCGTATGGGCCCGTGTCATTTCTCATTGATAATTTGGGCCCCGGAGTTCCTCTTTCTGCGTCGTTGGAGGCACCGAACGATATGGCGACTGACCGATGTCAGTGGCTTCCATGTTGGCAGTTTCTGAAGTGTAGGCATTTCCGGTGATCCAGCTGAGCTCACGACTTGCCCGCTGTTGGCGACTTCCAACTAACTCGATGTAAGTAATTGTGCTGAAAGTTTGTACCTGTCAGGAGCAGACGGTTTTCAGCACACAACTTAAGATTTTACTCTCCATTATCCTGCGGTGGGTATTGATTTCAAATTTATCACATAAATATGCTTCCTTCGGGTATGGTTGTCTAACTTAGGCATTCATATCACCTGCCGGGATGACTATCCGTTGTTCCTCCATCATCTTTTTCAATTGAAGTCTGTTAGAGCGTATGCCGGCACAGCAAATAGATACCGTACAATACAATGTCGGCTGTTTGCTGGGACCCAGTCCGTTAAAATGATGTTAACCTTGGGTACAACTTCCATAGAGTAGATACCACTAACCGTTACATGAAGATCAGCAGATATCTGAAGAGTAAAAATTGAAACATTTGAGCTGTCCTAAACAGCTTTAGGTGCACCACCGATATGGGTCTTGTATGTGTGTTTTGGAAACAACATACGTCAATAGAAATCAGTCTGAGCAATGGATGCCTATTTCCCAACTTGGCAGGATATGAAAGATGATAGATACAATATAGGAAAGATTTTTTCAGTTCAATCAGGTAGTGTTTTGACTTATTTTGCTGGGTGATTAGGATACGGAACGATGGTTAAAGAACTGGCAGGCTGAATGACCACAGTGGACCAGTTGAAGGATGAGGAAGTGCGGGTGAGGCCTGGTGGACGAAGAGCTGTAAGGGTGAATGGTATTCCCCGGTCGCTCAGGCTGTAGAAAGCTCCTAGGTAGGCAGCCCTCTTAGCTTTCCATAAATGTGTCATTTTGAAGAGTCTGGGCCTAGCCCTTTCTTCAAACGAGGCAGAAAATTATCCATACAATTTTCTTCATTCTCAGGAAACCCCACTTATAGGAGTCTAACCATAACGGTCTTTTCAGTTAAGGGCTGTACCTGCAAAGTGGTCTCCAGGGGACCAGCCAGGAGTGGCATTTTCTAGAGGGTGATCTACTAATCAAATAATCGTTCAGCTGCAAGACCCTTTCGGCGCCTAGCTGCCATGCCACCGGAAGGAAGCACGGGGTCTGGGATACTGCCAGGATGCTCAATCCTAGACAGGGAAAGTCGAAAAGCGGAGGTCGGGTTCGACCCACGGACCTCCGATCAGTAAATTCGCCCTCTAACCACTGAGCCATCTGATGAGAACTGTCTCCTGAGAAGGGCAGCTGTCGTTGGGACTTCACTGGAAAGAACGTTCGGCAGTTGTTTTTCACCGACACTACTGTCAAAGTTCCTGAATTCTCCGAGACCCCACTATCAGCTTCGCCCTTTGTCATTTCATCGACAGTGTTGTTTGAGGCTTCTCGCGAAAAACCTGTGAATAGTAGAATTCTCTTTCACGGGTGGAAGCATTTTAATGTGGGAGATAATTAAAGGTTTTTCTAATAGTACAAACCCTTAAGGCTCCAATCAGGCAAATCTATTCATATCGGACTGTCGGTTATAGTCGCCCCAGCGGGCGCGGGGAATTATTTACGAGATGACTTTGTTTGAAGGTTGATATAACTGGCGGAAAGTGTCAGCCTGATATCAGACTGCTCCGCATTCCTGGCATTTTTTATTTCGGCATATTCATTAGCCTATTTTTGTTTTAGATTTCAGTCATGGAGGAATGGTAGCTTTATCTTATGTGTATGATGCTATTTTTACAGCTCGATAAACGTGAAGGAAATCTGGAAACGGACCTAGATCGAAAACAGGCGGAAGTAATATCTAGTCTTCATCCGCTCAAGCGTCCACTTAACAACTGCACCATTTTTCTTGGCTACACATCCAACATGGTGTCGTGTGGTGTACGCGAAGTTATCCGATTCCTTGCTCAACACAACATGGTAAGTCAGCCGTATGTTTCCTGTGTTTCACTTTTCATCCTCCCTCACTGGCGTGATTATTGTGGCCAATCCTATATGTTTAATCTGATAGATCGTAGTTTGGCTTGCAGAGGGGTCACACTTTTACCTCTGATCAATTGTCACAAAGTATGGCAACCCTTCTTTTCTAAACAGTCGTCCGTCCATACACTTTTCGTCTGGTAGAGTAGTTCAGTAGGAACCGCTGACACCTTTATCATCATCAGAGTGCACCATTGGATGCGTAAATTACCTAATTCAGTTAATCGATTTCAGCAATACAGTAACAAGACTTAATTGGCGATATGTTTCCATCGGATGCTAAGAAAAGCACTCAAATTTGGTTGATTAACATGGTGAGAAATAGAGTGGAGTCACATACAGAAATTACCAAGGTTCAATTCCTGGACAGATACACCGAATCAGAGGTCTTTGCGTGCACACTGCTGACTGAGTGAAGTAAACTGAGAACCCTCCTTTAATGGCTAGCCACCGGGACGTTCGGGTGGGGTGAAATTACCTGAAACGCGTGGTCTGTGATGATAAAAGGCGTGGACATCAACGAAACCGAATGACAGTGTTTTTGTCGGTCTGTGTCTTTGTTGCTTTCAAATACCCCAGCAAATGCTCAGCTGTCCCACCTATGCTTGTGTCCCCTCATTCACAAATGAACTTTTATTGATGCGAGCGCATAATCCTGTCGACCGTAGTGGTATTTGTCTTGTGTTTTGAATTAATGAGCGAAACCGCAAAATCTAGGTGGAATGGGACTCACTCAAATGGCTTTTTCCCCTAAATCTGGAAAGCCAACCAGCATTGTGGTTATGGCTTTTCCGTGTGACACGTATTGACTGACCCAACTTGTTTTTAATGTTTTTCCTGAAATCCCGAACTTTCCCGACCTCAACATTTTCAACAATAGGTTTTCCAAACATTTTTGAAATTCGAGATTTTCTATTTTTTCCTATTTTTTCATGTAGTGGTTCTGTTTTTTTCTGCAGGTTGATGTGCTTATCACGTCTGCCGGGGGTGTTGAGGAAGACTTTGTGAAGTGCCTAAAGCCATCGTACGTGGGTGATTTTGAACGTTGGTCTGGGCATGAACTTCGAGATCTTGGTGTGAATCGTACAGGCAACCTGCTGGTGCCCAATAGTAATTATGTGGAGTTCGAAGCCTGGTTGTCACCCATCCTAGACCGTATGCTTTACGAACAAGAGACCGAGGTGAGTGATAAAAATTTTTCGGGTTCCGAAAATCTCAACACACAAAGTCTACTGTTCGTATTGGAACTCATTAGATAGGCATAGATGGGATAGCTCTACCAATCGATTGGTGTTTTTCTGTAATTCTTGTGTTCAGGATTTCACATTCTATCAGGACTATTAGGAGTGAGTGTTTTGCCATTAGTCCCACAGTCGTTTCAGCGCAGGATTTAACAGTTCTTTTTTCCTACAATCCTTTCTGTGTGTTCAAATACTAGCCTGTTTCTCGCCATCCGTCGTATGGTATTAATGGGATATCTTTCCAGCGTGACTATCCACCCATCGTCTAGAAGCCGGAGCTTCCTTATGTAGCTGTGTAACTCGCATAGTCACATTATACCAAAATTAAAACTTGGCATAATCGGCAGTGTATCGAAATGTTGGAGTGATTGGGAATGATCGAGCCCATGAACGGAAGCACATCCCTTCCCCGCCTTTGTCCATGTTTTTTCTGTCGTAGCTGATCAGTAGAAGCGGAAGCGCAATCTCCCCCTTCACGGCCCCATTTGAAGCACCTCTTAGATGTAATTCATGCATCGTTGCGTCTTTGAGATTGCTTAATCGCCCATAAAATCCTGCATACCGAAAACGCGAGGGTTACACGACTGAAGTATCTGTTGCGCAGATGCTTCCAAACGGCTGTTTGGGAATACTCAGGAAGTGAATAACTCGGTGTGATTCATAAGCCGTCCTATGGTGGGATGTATTCTAAGAATGAGCAGCGGATGAAGTTCAACTCTTGATTCTGGTACTATGCGGTCGCGGTGAATTGGTTGTTATTCTCCAACATCGTTGTTGGAATCACTAGATACCCCATAGCCCATACACGGAGAATGCAAAATTCCCATCTGTAACTCCCATCAGAATCGGACTTTGTGGTCCGCGAGTCGTTTGTATCGGAACATGTTTCCTTTATCTTCTGTTTCTGAACCGTGAGCTGCCGATTATTGTCGTCAGTTTCTGGCCATTGAGTAAGAAAGATGCAACTTGAAAATGTCAAAGATGAAACGAGGAAAACAGATCTGAGAAGTCTGTTACTGAGTGAATACCAGAGCGCAATAGTTTTGTGCGTAAACCCTATTGACTGACCAACCAAAGTTTGGTTAGCCCATACAAATGCATCAGGGTAGTCGAATTTCTGAGATAACACACAGGAGGCTACCCGGAGACATTTAAAGACATGACATTGGGCCAACAACTCAACGGCTGATTTTAATCTTCTTTTGTGTCACATGTGAAAGCATGTACGAACATACCGCATCCTGGAATCTTTTTTATTCATCACAACCACAACCGAAGGCTTTCTGTCGTGTATTCTCTGACTACAGCTGCTACTTAGGTCAACTGCTATGTAGCTATTATGTTACGTGGGATTCGATCGTTAGGATTAGAACTTTTCAGTCAGCTCCTTGGGTTGAAATCTCACAAGTTCGTTTTTTTCTTTAAAATGTCAAACTCACCATCAGCCGGGAATGAAATATGAAACCCTCGATACTTACAGGATATAAGTAACATGATCAAAAAAGAGAACTCTACGGGCTTGTTGGTGTTCTCTGTGAAGTTCCCACCTGAAATACCAGTCAACACTCACGCGTGCAATGCTAATCTGTACTGTTGAGGATAAATGTTAACAAACTGCATAAGAGTTCAACTAAACTACCGCTAGCCACCTCGTAATAGATCGGGTGCTCACTGTGTCAACCACCAGCTAGGATGTTCTTCGAAGGGAAGGCTGGCACATACTTGGCTCGGTGGACGGTTGTAAGGCGATTCTTGGAAGATGTTCGAAACAGCTTTGCCGTGATTCTAGACTTGCCAACACAGGTTGAATTCGTTGGATAGGTTCATACTTGACAATGAAACTTGACAATAGTTCCTACTAGGATAGTGCTTCTCTTATGAGGGTAGGATTTGGCGATTTCATGGTCAACGGCGTTGAAGATCTTATTTTTTCTACTTCACATTGGTTGATCGCATTAGTCCAGTCGCGCTAAAGACTCAGTAGCATTCTGGATTAATTGAGTTTCGATATCCCACGTCTCCCATGGTATAGGTATTTGAGTTCATAATCCTGAGGAGTATGGGGGATAATCGCATTTTGCGACAAAGAACTTGGCTGGCTGGTAGCATCCAATGAATTACATGATATGTACGTGTCTCTACCCTGTCTGCGCTCGCTTTTTGTTTCTGGGTCCGGAATGACGTTTTACCTAGTGACTCATCCTAGGCCGCTCTACACTTATGTACTGCACCCTTAAACTATTTCCGCGTTTTCCGTTTCAGGGCATTAACTGGACACCCTCGAAATTAATAGACCGTCTGGGTAAGGAGATTAACAACCCTGAGTCGATCTACTACTGGTGTCATGTGGTGAGTTTCGATGTGCTAGCGTTTTGCCGTCTACTCTAGGAAAAGTCAGAAGGAGACTGTTGTGTGTTAGCTGGCCCAAGCAACCCAGTCTAAATTTTCGATTTCCAAGGACATCGCAACAATCGTACTGAGCTAGAAGCAAGTGATTCTCTAGGAAGCCTGGTTAGCATACCGGCAGTATCCGGCTGATGAACGCTATGATTGTGTAGTCTATTGCACTGCATCACGCTGTCTATGGGCGAATTAACTGACGCTCAATAAGTGAACTAGGGGCAAAACCCTTTAGATTCTACCATGTACACAGCGGATAATATCTGGATTCCAGACCGGATCATTACTCAGCAGCCATATTTTATATATTATATAGTATTATAAAAAAACTTTACTTGAAGAACGAACAAAGTGGTATGTACCTGTGGTATGTCTTTATTTGGGCTAGCCAGATTTCCTTCGGAACTGTTCTTGTGTCCATGGTATTCATTTCGGTATGACTGAAGTAACTGAATACCTTTCGTACGCACCAATCACGTGATTGTGGCTGTTCTTTCCAACGAGCCTGTGAATGAGTTTGACGCTTCGCGAGCTAGTATGCCATAGTCTGTTGGGCAGTGGAATTTCAACAATTACATTTTTATGGATAGGATGTCGGCCAACGGATATAAATGCTACAAACCCACACAGTTTAACTGGAGAGTCGAGAGGAAGACTAAAAACAACCAGCACTCACGAGTTCAACGACATTACTATCCATCACTGCCCTCATCTACGTTTCACTTTGGTCCCGTGAGATCTTTTGGTGTGGCCTTTAGGATGTGTTTCTTGCTGATTTTAAACGAAGTTGAAATGGCCAACTCGATTAGTGTCACGTTGTTTTTCAGTGGTTCTCATCTCAATTTGTTGGATACCTGCAGTCCCCTATTTTACAACCACTACATGTACTGTACTGCGAAGTTATCGCGTACTCGAACCTGGACCGACTTGGTTTCACTGGGACAGGGTGGCAAAATTAGCAAGATCATCAATCCAAACCCTTCCAAGTGTTCCGCCAATCATACTCCTTTCAAAACGTCTTCCCTTTGAGCAGGCCAAGCCGTCCGAAGACGAAACTACTAGGCCCCCACATCATTAGAGGCAATCAACAACAGATGGTTTCATTTTGAATGAGACAGGTGGTGTCAAATGACAATCACAACTGAGGTTCACACAATATAATGGTCATGGCAAACATATTTTCACAATGTTTCTGCGGAATACCCACGGGTACAGTGAAGAGGTCAGGTTGGAGTTGGAAAACACATTTCCTGGTAGCCCTTCTCCAGTTGCCTGTTTGCAACTCATGTCCGGCCACTTAACGCCCTTCCTCTGAGCCCTTACTTCACTCCTACCCAACTCAATCATGCCATCCAACTTATTTTTTTGTTTAATCTTATTTCTTATTGGGAATGATCTGGGTAGGCACACCCACTAGTTCATCGCTACGCCACACTATGCACACTAACAACGCACTGATATTGTCACATAAACTGGCGATGAAACATTTGCATTCAAATTGCCCAGCTCAGCAAACAAACCAACGATTATCTAATCTTATTTGACCCGTTGTAGTGCAGATATCGCTTTAAAGGTCACAATCCCAACCAAACACAGGTAGATGTTTAGAAGAAGCATAAACCGCGTATGAAGACAGGTTACTGTATGTCAGGAAGCCTAACTTGGTCGGCAGAGGTAAAACTCGAACCGTGACACGTCACCTTATCCACACACCTCATCCACAGTGGATGAGGGGACCAGTTTTGTCAGATCTTTATCCTGAAGCGGTAGATGGACAGTGGATGAAAGGACCAGTTTTGTCAGATCTTTATCCTGAAATCACAATGTGCGTGTAATGAGTGCTCCAGATGTGAAAATACATTGAGAAAAGTGGTTACATGTATTGTGAACTGAGATAATTTGCGAGTAATATTGCGTGTTCACATCCTTGTACTTTCACCGCTCAGGTGAACTTTGGTGTTTCAATGAAGTAGTTGAGGAATTGGAAAGCATCTCTTAACCGGGTGGTTCCAAACCCTTAGGTTTGCTGGAGACAGGCCGTGATATGATACCTTGAAACGAAAGCGGCCATGGTGAAACTGATTGCGATGGGATCTTTGCATCCTTCTGGCTGGAATCCCATGTGATCCTATTTGCATGGGACTGAAAACCCTCAGGGCATGATGTACATTTTGTCAGTTCCTAGCCGGACTACCTAGCTAGAGTTCGCCTATTGTTGTGCACTGGGCTTATTTTGGCTGGGGTTCATACAGGACGCTGGGTCAGTTCAGTTGATGTCGTCCTACTTGCTCAGACATGTACATCTTACTGCTGTCCAAAGCTGTGGGCGCCCTATTCCTGATAGTTTTCTTTGAGGACATTGGTCGTGCCTACAATAGATCCCTACCCTTCTCCTTTCACCATTTATTGAGACTTTTATCTCTGATGGTAATATGACAGTTGAGCACCGGTGTATATCACTGGTAGAGCTGTCAATGATGATGATGGTGGTGATGATTATATTTATATGTAGGTGACTGTAATAAAGACAGGATATGATGAAGACCGATCAAATCCTGTCTGTACCAAAGTGGTTCGTGTTATTCAGGATTAGATTTCAATTACGCGTCACGCGAAGCCTCACTATCACTTATGTGATGGCTGGGAAACTTTTGGCGATCTCTTCGTCACTCAGTTCTTTCATGCCGCCAGGTCCCCATTAAAGCTAACAATTTTCATTCAATGCAACTTACTGTCCACACTCTCCGTCTGTTGTGTATATCTTTCAGAACTGTAGCTTCAGACTCATCCTGCATCAGTAGCATGCCCCATTCAGACAAATTCCTTTCAAATAGGTGTCCGGTGACGTCCCAAAATTACTTAATGTTTTTGTGTTATTCAGCAAATCAAGTCATTCACTTGTGGTTATCACGCAACTTGTACTGGGCAATTGACTCCTGATCTGTCGAGGATACTCTTTAACCACGAAGCTTCCGTGAGAAACTCCCTACGCCACTGCAGATAAATTACTTTTGATGAGGAATCATGGTTTTCTTTTAATTTACAGCAAAACTGATATCGCTCGCACTAGGTATTCCCTTCCAACATTATCCATTGGGTGCGATTATGTATGAAAAGTACCCTTCCCAAACATCTGTAGACTGCTAATTCTTTCACTAAATACATTGTTCATCGGACATCTATGCCGGTATGTGATGAACATAGAATATCAGCGAACTTGAGCAATTTCCACACTTTTTTGCACAATTTCATTCTTCTCTGGACTACTGGTTTCTGTCTTTAATTTCGACTCCCCTGGATTGCAGTCAGAAAAGAATATTGTCAAAATGCTTGTACATAACAAGCTAAAAAGGACCCATGTAACCTTGCCATCCTTTGAGACCGTTTTTTCCAATTGGGTACGCAACTTACTTAATTTTTCGAATGATTTCGAGGCGTCGTTCATTTTGGTTCAACATGCTTGCAAATCAGATAGAAACGTCGCAAGTGCATAACCTACTGGGATTGAATGACATTGTCTATTTTTTAGTGTATTTTGCCTGCGCTCTGCGCCACCGGTGTTTGCCAATGTTTTCGTTTCAACATCATTCCGGCGTTATCTTTCATACTCAGGCAGACCAGCTTCATCTTTCGCGGTTCCAGTTATAAACTATTATTCTGGATTCTCATCCTGGGTTATTCCGAAAGCCAGGGAGCACTGTGCACTGTTGCTCTTCTGGAAGAACGATGTTATCAACATTTGTATTGTTTGCATATTTCACACTGTTTAATCCTCGTATTACTTATGTCAAATCTTTGTAGAACAAAATTCCCGTGTTCTGTCCAGGACTTACCGATGGATCTCTTGGTGACATCCTATTCAGTCACACGTACAAATCCCCTGGCTTTCGGATAGACATCGTTGAAGACGTCCGACACATCAATCTCATTGCAATCTACTCTCGCAACACCGGTATGATTGTTCTCGGCGGCGGAATCGTCAAACACCATACGTTCAACGCTAATCTGATGCGCAACGGCGCCGATTTTTGTGTTCTGGTCAACACGGGACATGAATTTGATGGCAGTGATTCCGGTGCTCGTCCCGATGAGGCTGTCAGTTGGGGCAAGATTCGGGGTGCGGCGGAACCGGTTAAAGTTTGTGCCGATGCCTCACTCATATTCCCTCTGTTGGTAGCTTGTACATTTGCCAAAAGATTTGCCGATAAAGCTTCTGTATCTGTTAACGGTTGCACCTGATACATCATGTACAGTTTGTCATTGTAAAAACTAAAGATGGAGCAGTGTATCACTTGGTGTTTTTTTCTATACCCGTAGGTAACTTTGATTGTGGGGATTCTGTAGGGAGATTCCGTTCTCGTTTTCTTTTGGTGCACACACCTTGCAAGCTAATGTAGCGGCGGATTCAAGTGAGATCCGTGCAAGCCATGAATGTAAGTGTACGTACTCGAATAGCTTTGTGGATTTAGGGAACATGTGTTGAATCCAAGAAGTTTCTAACTGAATGACTCACTTTACACTCGAGTGGCTTTGATTCGTGTCACAAAATTATTCTTTGTGGTTGGCCGTATTTGACTCTTACCTTAGCTTGATGTTATTCGCAGGTATGTTTTCACTGAGGAAGATGAGCACAAACTCTACACACACGCAAGGAACAATGATACTTGAATCAACTGTTCTTTAATGTTAGTCAGGTGATATCACACCGGGGATCACATATTAGGTTACCTCGTCCATCTGCGAGAGGTGCTGTCTTTCGAACACGTTGCGCAGCTAATAACACTGTCTGGGCATGCAAACTCAAGCGCCGTGTCAGCTTAGTTGATTCGATTCACCAAGTTGGTCGCTTTTATCTGTTCAGTTTATGAGCAAAAATATGAGATATCCAAGGGTCAACGTCCGCTCACAAGATATTATCCTCAGCTAGGTAAGGTGAAAGTAAAGAAGCATCCTTTCTTCATGTCCAGATCAAAGTGAAAGAGCCGTTAACTATTTTCAAAGCCGCTATTCCGCGCATACCTGTTTAAAAAACGACGAATGACGCAGTGAAGTAGTTATTTTTTCGGGCTCTGCTTCACCCATTTTGTAAAGTGAATGAATTTAAATTACTGACTACAGTTTCAACACGTGATGGCAGTAATCTGTCTCAGAAGGGATAATCCGTTGTCAGTCCGTATATTTGTAGCACCAGCAATGCGGAGTTTATGATGAAACGTTCAGTTCTGTTTGTCCACTGTAAATTCAGCCGACATAGGTGAGTTGCAAACAAAGTGATCTGACCGTTGTGCGTGGTGGTGAACAAAGCAGTATGACTGTCAACGATGAATCCTTACATGGCTTTTGGAAGGCTGGTGTAGCTGACTATAACGAGTGCACATAAAAATGGACGGAATGTTCCTGGTTGTTCGATACTCCATCGTGGAGAAACAACCTGATAGGATACATGAATTTATCCTCGACAGAAGTGTTCCTTCGCCAGAGGACTAATCAATGGAAAAAAACTATCTCACCATCCTTACACCGTAGTAGCAGAATTCTGGTTTTTGAGGTGTTATAAACAAATTATGTGCTTGTGTGATGAAGCTTTTCTCTTCGTTTGAGAGGACATCTTTTACAACTCTGTGATTCTGATTTACTCATGCAACGTGATGTAATCTTTATTGATCCTCAGTCCTTGTTCCTTGGGTCATTATGAACCGGAAGGTTTTTGTCACCCAGATGAATTACATTAAGATTCTCAGAACAATAATTGATCGCGGTCTATCATAGCACAACTATAAAAAGGATAGTCTAGAGCTCAAAAAATTTTGTACTGAGGCGCGTTCGCTCTTCCACTGGGTTCGTTTTGGTCAATATTCAATACTGTCAAGGTGTAATTCTTTCATAAACAATTCACCTACAATGTCCTTGCTATGTATCGTGCGGAGGATTTACGGACTCCGCTTCCTTGGGAGATTCTTCACTGGCAAGGTGTAGAAGGTTACCGTGTTTTGTTGGAACTAATATTCGTTTGCCTGATAAATGAGGTGTAGAAGCCGTGTTTTGTTGGAACTAATATTCGTTTGCCTGATAAATGAGAAGTCGTTTTAAAAAGCGACTTGTACAGGCAATGCCCCCAGCAAGCAATGAAACACGATTCTGAGAATCGCTGCTTGTTAAGAGGTGGAACAGTTGCACTTCATCCTCTTGAGAAGATCGCTCGAACCTGATAAAAGTGAACAAATCGAGAAAGTTACTTTATTAACGATCACTTGTTCGTTGTACTGAAAATCTCTTCACGCAGTTTGGGTACCGCTGGACGACAAGGTCATGGCAACGAATATTCCGTCCCTGCGTACTTTAATGAAGGTTAACCCCTTGAGCTTATTGGAGGTTGGCATAGGATACAGGAGAGATATAAACGACGGCCGCTCACAGCCAACCACTCGATGTTTGGTTTGTCGACCAAGTACTGATTCTAGGAGCAAACAGTTTTGGCTACTTCATTAAAACTCGGTTACTCGAGCTTGCACCCATGATAGCTTTGACTTACATCGTCATTCAAACCTTTGGGCTTAGGAGTACCATATTGGCACCAAAAACGATTACAATAATGCTCAATGGCAATTCAGTTTATCAGCTATAAACCATGTGCCATATGCACATTGGTTCCAGCTGCTACAGTCTCGACTACCGGAAAACGGGAAAGTGGAACATACAAGTAAGTCTTGGAGGCGAAGGGACGTTCAGTTTGTTCGGAAACGGGGTAGCTGCGGGTTGAAGGCGATAGCTTTGATGCACGAGCGCCACTGACTGCGCGATTGGGCCATTTCCGCCAATGTCATTAACCACTGGTGATTTGAGTCCCGGGGTCCCCATCCAGGGAGGCAGCAGATGCCCACCCTACTAAGTTTGCTGGTTGGTGTTTTCGTACTTCGTTACCAGCTCACGGTCGCTTCCACTCAGCACAGGGCTGGGAGAGAAAGCTCTGTGAGGCAGGCGGTCTTCTGGCATGCGGAGTACATGTTCCAACCAGCGCAACCTATGAAGCGTGAGTATTTCTTCTATCGCGGAAGAGTTCCCTGATCCTGAGACCATCTGGCGTACCTCAGCATTACTAATCCGATGTTCCCATCAGACTTGACCAATGCTGCGGAGAAACCGATGATTAAACACTTACATCTTCTGTATGTTTTCTGCGCGTAGGGGTCACGTCACTGATCCATAAGACAGCATGGATCGCACCACCCCAGTGTAAACTCTTCCCTTGACAATATATTGACGTCGTCACCATCTATTAGAACATGAATCGAACAGTATTCTCGATTATGCGAGCCAGGAAGGGGTCAAGAATGGTGCTCCGAATCATTTTTTGTATCGAACTATTCGAAGAACATGCAATGAGGATATGCTATTGTCGCTTACAAAGCCGCGTTAAATGAACAGGACGGTCACGAAATTTTGCCACGATGATGGAAAACTGGCTCATGGTGTGTTGTGAGTAAATCGGAAGTGGCGCCACATAAATCATGTGACGAATTCATTACACAAGTTCGGTTCGTGGTTTGTATATCAACTAGGAGATAGCGCTAGTATTAGACGGTATCAGCTCCTGCGTAACCGAGTTATTACAAAGCGGGTGTTGGTAATGTGGTAAGAATCAAGAGTGGTTCTGGCAGTCACGTACGACGAGCTATCGGCCGAATTCAGTGTCAGAAACAATAATGTTGGTAATAAAACACCCATCAGAATGACAAAATAAGGCTTACAAAGAGACTGGATGCTGTTGGTGATACCTTGCCGGAGATTGGCAAAAGCTACCCCGGCCTTTCCGATTGATCTCATCTCCAACCAGTCCACCGGAACCTATAGAGCTGCCCAGGTAAACAAATTTATCCACCACGTAGATTGGCTCACCTGCTTGAGTTAAAATTACAGGCTCTTAGAGCTAAGTCTGCCGCAGCATCGGGTCGTTGATTTGCGAGCATCATGCAACTGTTTCATTCTGATGAACTTGTAAATGACGGGTGAGCAGTTGGTTTGCATTTGATCTGTGTCAACAAATACAACGCACACCTCACCTGTTCATCCGGTCCGACAATTTTACTTCTCCTTATTTCCTTACTTGGAAAACGGTTTGCAGATCCATTGAATGTCTAAGTATTCAATCTGTACCGATCGTTCCTACAGGTACCGTCTTCTAAGCGTCTGCGCTGGTAACTATCCGGAAGCAGTCGATGGAAAGAAGCGTTGTCTCAAAGCCCAGAAATATGTGCCTAACGTGCGAACTCACTGAAATAAACGCAAAGAATGCTTTTTCAGTATAGCTTAACATCAACGAGACTGACAAAACAGCTTTTCAAAACCTACTGAACACGGTTGAATGAACAATTTAGCTTGGCATGCTAGTCACCTGTATTTGTTGCGTTTAGGATTTGCGGTTAGGCGCAAGCCCTCCCACTTGGACCAGAAGCATGAAAAGGTATCGAAAGTGCGACATTCACACCGACTACCACAAACTCGCCGAGCGGCGGAAGCATCTGACAATGACCAATTTGGAAGGCAGTGGACAGTCGAAATGTATCTGTCTATCTGCCTAACCCCGCATATATTTGAAAAGCATCAGCTTTCGAATGTTTAAATGTGCTTCCGCTCGATGCGATACGCCTTAACTTCTCCTTCGTTGGGTGCAGTGGAGTTCTGAACAGGAAATTCAACCTAAATCTCAATAAAGTCGCTCATTTTTCACTGCTTCGAAGGGAGTGACGATCGATGCCATAGATCACGTGCTCTTGAATAACAAGTGAGCATACTTTTCCTCAGCGATTGGAGTAATCGCATTCACGTAGTGAGTGGCATCGAAACATGTGCAGGCTGATCACCAAGATTGATGACAGACCAGTAATCAATGCCAGTAGTTGTTTGACTCAACGCACTTGAGCACATTAAGGAAATGCTTTCGAGAGTGCACGACATTGGTTGTCGAGGTGTATTCAATCCGCGGCTCAGAGATTACGCCCCATCATTATCTATTTTGTTATTGAAGCTTAGTTACGGCGCCTACCAGATACAATGAAGCATTTTGTTTGTACCATGTGCGAGACTGGTTCCACTGACTTCGGATAGTTCAAAACATTCTTGATGCGCATAATACTGTCGACTAAATTAGGAGCAACTTGAGTTGCGTTGTATTCGGATGCACAACTGGATTACAACGATAGTAAGGTTTGTGAATCACCAGACGCCACGTCGAAACGACTTTGCGTGATACAGTTTGTTGCTCACAAACTCGCAGTTTCACACTAGTTCCGAAATTCCAAATCTCCGAAACACTGATCGTCCTCATTAGATTTCGGGCTCTCAAAAAACTAACGAGAGTATTTATGGCGTTTGGTAGCTAGAAACACTTAAGCATGTCAGCACCTCGCCCTGTCAATGTTAACAGCTGTAGACCAGCAAACCAGCTTCAGGGATTGCGTACGAGCGAGTTCACTAGTCCACATAGTGTTCCATCCAACCCGTGGTCACATCTCCTTGGTTAACTTCTATGTCGATGGTCGTAACTAACCATCCCAAATGTTATTATTTTTCTTAGTTATATGACACCTAGACCACACAGCCCAAAATATTTCACTCAGAATCTGTTTGGTGGCAGTGAAAGCCTTCCTCGTCGCATGAAAATACAGGTAATTGTCGATAAGAACATGTAGCGAATTGTTATCCACAAAGGGCAAATCTTCGGACAGGGTAGGATTTAATCGGGGCACAAAAACACGTGGACATTCACACACAATTTGAAATTAGTGGAAAATACCACTTCAGGGCGTACAAAGAAATTTTCACAATAAAGTAAGCAAGTTGCCGAGCCAGCAGAGTGACTTCGGTCAGACTATAATCACAATTGAGCCGGTTCCCGGAAAGATTGTGGTTGGTGAACCGAGAGTAGTGAGGGCAGTAAGTGTGTAAGCATGTGCATTCGTACGAATAACTCATAACATAGAAGGCGGACGGGGGAAACTAAGGAAGACAATTGCCAAAACATGTGAAGTGGCAAACCACAATATCTGTGAGGAATTTGAAGAGCGGGTGTGTGTCGGGAGAATCAGCGGATTAACTGGGCACCATAACCAGCATGAGGAAATGCGACAGTGACGGAGGGCGTGATTAACAGATGCATACAAAGAAGGGATGATGATGATGATGAACTGGTTGTAATGCCCACCCAACCCGTGCGAAATATCCTGCGAGATCACGGAGACGGAACGTTCTTTTTGATACAGCAAGACATGTACAACCAGTGGGGGAGCCGGGAGGCGAAAACATGAAACAGTCAGTGGGTGGATTGGTTCTATAGCAGAATACAACATTTGTTCGTCTTCTTAGCCTGAAGAGTAGAAAAGATGAAGGTAGGTAAGACTAATTAACAGATATTCGAATTTGATTGCATTAAAAACTTGTCCAGTGTAATTGGATGACTCGCTACCGGACCCATCGAACTTCCGTACTCGTCTTTCAAAGGACCACTTTCACACTATACTCATTTTCGGGTTGGTCCTAGTAGCAAAACTATAAGGATGAAATAACCAAGCATATACCAGAACACTGAAGGTTCCTGATCTGTATGATGAGCTTGGCAATTAGCTTGCAACGTTTCGCCCTCAGTACCCAGTGTGCATTTGACTGGGCTCACAAGCTAATCGTCCCACTCGGTCAACAGAGCAACGGCCACCCTATCAACCACCAGTAAACACACCCGAGCTACCAATATTTCGATACATAGCTCGGAACAGTTCAGAACCGTTTCACCAAAATATGTTTAAATGGAAAGGACCATTTCAAAGTGCATCGCCAAAAACCGGCATACCGATTCTCGTAAATTCCACAACAATCGATACCAAATACTAGGGTTGAATACCACCTCTTGGGAAACGTAATGGTTTGAAGGTTGGAAATAAGCAAAAGGAAGGTGTCTAGCGCTCACTTCAACTGTACGAGCATGGCCTAGATCAAGTCAACAGCGAGGTCACCCGTCAGATAGGATTGCAGTTTATCCTATCAACCAAAACACACCCGAGCTACCAATATTTCGATACATAGCTCGGAACAGTTCAGAACCGTTTCACCAAAATATGTTTAAATGGAAAGGACCATTTCAAAGTGCATCGCCAAAAACCGGCATACCGATTCTCGTAAATTCCACAACAATCGATACCAAATACTAGGGTTGAATACCACCTCTTGGGAAACGTAATGGTTTGAAGGTTGGAAATAAGCAAAAGGAAGGTGTCTAGCGCTCACTTCAACTGTACGAGCATGGCCTAGATCAAGTCAACAGCGAGGTCACCCGTCAGATAGGATTGCAGTTTATCCAGTGAAATGCTTCAGAAATTATGCGGTGGCTCTTCTGGAAGTCAGACTGAGGGAACAGAGTCCAGAGTTACCGCTATGGTGGCCAGGAGCTTACCAAATCACGTGATATATTCTTATTCTCTGCATCACTCTGGTTGAATCGCCGAATACGTGTTCCTCGGTGACACTTAGGTGGGTAAACAAACCAATACTACTTGCGATGTCGGGCGCTTCCATTTTCCAGCCTTCTTGATTCGCGTTCATCGATAAACCGAAGTACAGAAGATGAAAACCAGAGAGACTACGTTGCGGATGGTTCTCGGGGCATTTTTATAAAGTACGAGCTAGATTAATTGATATTCCATGGAATATGCAATCGAACTACGATATAATGTGAAGCGCACTGGGCGCAAGCCCTCGAGAGCGAGTGGGCTACAGAGTTTCGATGCATGCCTATTTTGGATCGCTTCACATATCAATCCAACAAACTATGCGGAATGTCCTTGTAACGTACTACTCATAAGGTTGCTGAAAATCCGTCGACAGCCCACGACCGGTTTCGCCCTCTTTGGGACTCATCAGGTAGGCGCAGTCCCCGGGTTTCCGTCAACCTTATGTTTTACTTGAAAGCAAATTGCACGAAATTCGCGAATATATACTCATTTGCAAACTAATTTGTTTTTTCGAGAGACTCATCTGGAACCCAGCTGATGTTCTCAGGCATATAAGCGGAATGCCATCCACCAAGTGCTCACACTGTTGTTGCAGCCGACTAATTTCTCACTAAACTGATAGTCAGCTTTTTTATTTACGATCGGTTTCATTCCATGCGGTTGAATGGATCCACGGAAGTATTACATTTTCTATTTCTTCGCTTTACTCTATCCAAACAACCATGGTCTATTCACTGTCTGGCAGATATCAGACTCACCACCTGCATCCTTGATTTAAAGGTTTGCACTAAAAGGGATTTTCAACCGAGAAGATTCCCTCATACAAATCATAACAAAGTGAAAACGGAATCCTCAAAAGCACTGATTTTGCGTCCATTTAACCATTTCAAAGTATGTGGTATTGATTCTACCCATTTTCCAAATAAATGGACACGTGCCAAAAACTGTCTCGTGATGATTAGTCAGACATAGTCAAGGGGAAGTGGACCAGATTAGTATTTCCAGGGAGGGACGGGAACAGGAAGACTGAAAATTACTGCGTGAAAGTCACGCACATCACCAGTACTCGTGGTTTCTTCGAACCTGACAAACAATCGAAACAAGTGCTTCTTAAAGTCATGAAGATGCTGCTATATCCTGCCTGGTTATTGCTCAGCAGTGCTGTTCAGTCTTGATATACCATGTATCGATTGAGAACGCTTAACGGAACAGTAAAATGAATGTCCCAAGCGACTTATTTGGTGAAATAACACTCAGATTCAGACTACTCATCCATAGTTAGCTGCAAGATGTCTAAAATTAGTCCAGGAGGGTTCTGTCATCGTCATAGAATTCACGTTGATCATTCGCTGTGGTCAGGAGCAGTTGGTTAGCAGATCATAATGAAAGAGGCAATATATAATTCGAATCAATCACCCGCACAAGTTTTCACGAAACCCACGACAAACGAAAATAATTGCGCTATTTAGAATTGATACCATGACAATATAAGCTGACGTATTACGGCGGATTTTAGTGTTGATATGAAAAATAACCAGAAATGTGAACTGCGTGTCTTACGATATACACCAACATGCAAATATTACTATATTGAATGCGCGGTTAGACAGACGTTGGAAAAAAGTAGACATGCCAAACAACTGGACGGAAGACGAAGAGATCAGGAGAATAGCCTTGTAGTAAATGGTCTTCTAGAGCTTGAAATGACGACAAACTGTTGGGTGCGAATTTGAGGGTGTCACTTGGGGGGCGGGGTCGATTTTAGAATGATGGTTAGGGCTCAGTGTCAAAGTGATTGTGTTGGACATTTTATACTAGTCACCATAAGAGACCCCCATTTGTACACCCATTACGAATTAGGTTATACGGCTATCACGACGCGCAGTCTCACAATGGACCTCCTTACTTCTCCTTCATTGGACATCTTAGATAACGACATAACCTCCCGGGAGTCATCAACCCCAGTTTCCACCGGAGGACGGTAGATAGGGAGTGGCTTCCTCCTCTAAAATGAGTCAAGCCAACAGGTGTGAGTGGCTATCAAGGTGTCAAATGCAGCATATGTAGGGTGATTATCCGAACTTTCAAAATTAAGAAGCTGGTCTGGAAAGAGGAAAGCTTCAGACTCAGAATTTCTAACAGACATCGAGTTACGTATATGACTAAGGGTTGAGATAAGAAGGGAACGGGTATGGAATAGCACGTTTATGTGAGAAATTCCAACCGAGGATATGTAACTCGCAGAGCACCGAAAAAGAGTGAAAGATTCATTTGCACTCGAATGTGGGCATACCAATAAATTCAGAGATGATATGAGTGACAGGTAACCCACTGATCACTTTACACTTCTGCTTAGATCCTTTTGGGATGACCTCAATATATTGGATGCAACTGACTGGATTTGGAATCCAGCCAATGGAGTGCAGCTTAGAAATGATCCGCCGGGTTGAAATCACGATAAATAACCTGTCCACGCAAGTACAAACGAACAACTCCGCCTTCTGGACCCAAAGTACTAGCGATGGATTTCCCCAAAGAGCTGTGAAGCCCTCACCCTAATCAACACACTCATTGACCTATCGTTTTGTCCGGGTCCCAACGCGTCGATCTACGAAGATTCCTTTTCTGTTTCGAACAATATTTCACAACAACCGGAAAGGTTTCGATTTATGAACATCTTTTTACTGGATTCGCCTTGACGTCATTCAGCTCAAAATCGTGTGCCACATCCATACCCTATCAGTGACCTAAAACCTGTAGAAAAATTACTACATAAAGACCTGTCTCACGTAAGCCGCCTGTAGATGATAGTTGGGCATAGATAGTACATGTTTCAAATACATTAATCTGATGAGCTTTGTTTGCTGCTCTGGGGATTCCAATTCATCATGAAATACTCGATTAGATAGCACTTCACTGCGCGTGTTCTGAGGCCAACAAAGGCTCGCCATGCTGCGAGGGTATCGAACAACAAATCACGTGGGAACAGGGAGCACGGAGTACGTCAAAAAAAGCTTCAGCACATTCCTTCTTGGCCGAGTTTACACAGAAGTCACCTCTCTAAGGAGTCCGAGGCTCTTTTGAAGCCGAGGAAAACTGCGAGAGTTGAGTGGCAGTATGTGTGAAGCTAAACAGAGATTTCATGTAACGTGAACTAGCGACCAATTCAGAACTTACTCGGACGAAGTTGCGTTTTATGCCCTCGAGTTTATCTCACATATCAGAGTTAGACACAAGAGTATTAAGGAAGCCAGCAGCCACATGTATGACAACTTTGCGGTTTATAACAGCAGCTTGGCATCTTTATCCTGATTGATTGGCACCACTTATCTCGACCATTCTTGATTCCAAGTAGATTCGAACAAGAAGCAACACGGATCCACCACTGTCCTACAATGGTACTCATGCAAGCTCATCAGGATCCGGGAAGCCAATGGCATATTAGCACCTCATCAACTGACAGGGGGTCTAAAATCGCAGAGTACGCCTCAAGTTGGACGGATCGAACGAAACAGATAGATATGCAACCCCACGGACAACTAAACTGCAATTCGCAGTATTCTGCCCAACAATATGGCTTATGACTTTTCATCCTATATTAGATTCTCAGTGTTACCTTTGGTCAGACGTTGTCCTGGGTCCCGTTTCTTGGATTACTAGGAGCAGCTTCTCTGCATTCCCCACTCCATTTCTGGGGCCTTGGGTTTACGCCACACCTCTGTGTCGCTACACAACCTCAAACTGAGAGGGTGTCTAACCAAACGAATGATTCTGCAGTGTCTAAAGAATAGAATATGTCTCGGCAAGAAGCTGTAGTGCTGCACGCTCGGAAACACGAGGTGCCGAGTTCCCATTGTCACAAACAGCGACTGTTAACCCTTTCCGTTTGGGACTAATGTCAACTAAACAGGCCACTTCCAAAATATTATATGGGAGATTTCGCTGTGTTCAGTTGATTCATGGATGGGACATTTTTTAGAGTATTAAACGGGAAGATTGGTCTTTAAGCATAACCGGGAAATTCACTGAGAAATTATCATCGACGTACGTATTTCAGAATGACCGGTAGAAGAGTCTTCGCTGGTCGAGTTTGCTCCACAGTCATTCGGTAGTAGAGGGAAATCAGGCAGAAAGACAGTCCACAGTTCCTAAACCCAGTATTGCTAGGAAACAACTGGTGGTCAGTACAAAGTTGTGAAAGAATCCACCATCGTCCTTGTATTCTGCGTCTTAACTCAACATGCTACCAAATCGTGCTTTCCGTGAACTGCCAAAGTTTAATTGCGTATTGCGATCCCCAGCAAATCAGACCGCATCTGAAACCTACGTGGTAGTTACTTCTCAACAAAGCATCTTACATGGAATCAGAGCTACAGTTGGTTGGTGCATAGGCAGAAACTACGAATAGTCACTACCGTTTAGATCGATGCGGGTCCTGGACACAGTGAATTAGAGAAGAGATGGGGAAGTGGGGGTGCGTCAAGTCAGTGGTTCGAAAGACAGAAGTATTAGTTAGAAAGAACTGAGTTAACATTCTCCTCTGGATTGCGTATCTTGCAACGTTATGTTGAATTACTCATGCTTCATAGTTTACGCTGGTTAGGACAAGTATTCGGCATACCGGAAGACCTGCTTCCCAGACCTCGTTTCGCACAGCCCTGTGCCGTGGCAGTGACCGAGAGCTGGATAGTATATGACCTCGCAACGAAGTATGAAAACACTAACCAGAAAACTGAGTCGGAACAACAACTGCTGCCTCCTCGAATGGGGACTGCGGGACTCAACTCCCCACTGGTTAGTGACACTTGCCAACATGGCCTAATCGCGCAGTCAGTGGCGCTTCTGCAGCAAAGTTATCGCTTTCAATCCTTAGCAACTAAATGACCGAACTAACTGAACATGCCATAACCTCCAAGGCTTGGCTGTGTGTCCCAAACTCACCCATTTCCCGGTGATCGAAACTGTGGCAGCTGGAACCAATATTTCCATATTACACTGTTATAGTCGACAAATTAAACTGAACTGAATAGAGATTAAATGGTAGAAGCTCTCCAGGCAGCAGAATTAGCCACGCCTCAATTGCTCCGAAAAATAAACCAGTAGACAGTGTGAACACACAACGGTTACCAAAGAATCAGGTGTCATAGATCCAATCTCAACTGCAAGTGGTTCCTCAACCAGTTAGATGGTCTGCACACTTAAGCACCGGTGAAGACGTAAAGTGAAGTGGAAAGTTACGATTAATGAGGAAGCCTGAGTGAACTATATCTGAGGATGTTGATTCCACTTTCATCCGCGAAGAACTGGACAGTCAAGCTTTCAGCAAATTACATGTCAAACTGGACCTGTTAGTTCAGTCATCATGGTGCGACGAAACTATGGAGGCCTAGATTAAAAACAATGTGTGTACAATATCATAGAGATAAATATGGAAGGAATATGGGAAACGTCTTACGGACTGGTCAATGTGGAAAAAACATTGTCAAGCGGGTAGTAAACACAGTCTTTGAGTTGTACGCGCGGATGGCCACGGCACATGTGGAGTTTGCTCACATGTCCTTGGACGCACAGCGTAAGATTTCGAATGGAGGGCTTACTGTAGCAACTCTTGTGTGTGCTAAATTACGTCTGCTGAAGCAGCTTTGGGGCGACTTATTAACTCCATTCCACATGTTAATCAACAGTCTGCACAGTCCATATTAATGTCTTAGCCATTCGCATGTGTATCTCACTGTCAGAGCCTCAAGACAAGCTACGGAATACCAGGTAAAATGCATCGCGATACTAATAGCCAACAGAAATAGCGGAGGATTCTGATGTCATAAGCATGTGATGGATACCGGGTAGGTGCCGCAAGATAGAAAGATTGACAGTTTGAAAATACCAGGCTGCAAGGTAAACACTAAGGACACATGAGGAAAATGGTTGAGGTGCGCTGGATGGTCACAAATTCTGTGATGAATCGTCACAGAGGATGACTGCACACTGTCAAGTCAAGTGTCCACAGAGGGCTCGCCGCCTATTTCAGCGAAGAAGGCTGTTAGAGATAAAATAGCGAACCTTACAGAGGTGTGATCCTTATAAAAAGAATGTGGGTAACCGTATGAGAAGTGAATACAAAAAACAAAGCAATAATCACACCGTCATTCGAATAATCATTATCAGCTGTAAATAAGCGTACTTGCCGTGCAGTGACTGTAGCTGCCACAATGTAGTCCATCGATGAAGAAACTGTTTTAAACAACTTAATCTACTCCATTTAATTTAGCGGTTTCAGCAATTCAGCTACCGGAACTCGGAGTTAACAAGTGTGAATTCTTGATACGTTTTGGCCGAATGTATGCAAAGAAAATCCGACCGAACACAGCACGTCCGAAGAGGAAAAGCTGGAAGAGATTATTTACTTGGTAAATGGACTATTATTTTAGGAATGCATCAATGTTAGTAACTCAGGTGAGTCTACTGATTGTTCTTTGTTGATCTCTTCGTGGAACTAGGTAAGGGGAAAGTCAATACGCAGGCTCGGCCAACGGGCCAACAGACGACCGTTTTTGACTGTCTTGTGTTTGCGGACTAACAAGGGAAATTTGATGTGAGGAAATACTTAGAAATGAAAGTACAGTCCCCTAAGGCGATAGTAGTTTAGTTTGGTTCTCACTTGGTTCCGAAAAACTCTATTCCACATGGTACAACGGGCAGTGTAGAAAGATATAGGAGGCCCCTAACTATCTTGGAAACATAGCAGCGTCGACAGGATACCAGCCCGAGACCTCCTTTCTAACAGTAGTACAGGAGAACTCGTAGTGATGGCTGAACGATTAAGCACTCAAACTGCTAGACGGGAGGTTTCCGGGTTGAAACTGTTGATGATCCCCAATAAGAATGAAACAGCGGTGCAGTGCTGCTCACCTTTTCAGCATAGACTGGCTTCACTTATAGGACGCGATTTCAATTTAACGAGTTAACCTGAACGGGCGTTGACCGGAACACACTCCAAACAACATAGCGACAACGACCGAGAAAAAAATCTGAAGGACGTACCGTGGTATAGAACATTTTGGACTGTACGCTGAGATCCTCTGAACGCTGAACAAGATCATCCAATTTTTCGCCCCTCGCCAGCAGAGACTCCAGGGTGTTGTGCTAAGATCGAAAACATGGACGGGACAATAAAGAGAAAGCAATTAAGTGACGCAAAGTTAAAAACATATTGAAAACAGGTGCAACCGTCATTAAATCAACAAAACAGCACTGATCAGGCAGGAAGTTTCTTGGCGAAGACAAAAAGGACACGATGGGATTTCGTTTTATTACAATTAAGGGACCTGTCTATGCAGCTCCACAATCGACAAACCACATGAAAATACCTTCAGTAGGAATGCAGTTGACATCGAAGGCTCCTGAGAGTGAGCCACATGCATTGTTATCAATAAGATCGTCCCATTTTTGGATGTTGTGGGTTGAAGAACACAGGGCTAGCGGAGATACTAGCCAGTCAATTAAATTAAACAATTCATTCTGCCCATCCAATCCAATAGGATTAGGGACGCATGGAAATCTTTAAGAAACATTCATTTAGAATATCAGGACGCAAAATCGAGTTGCGACGACCGAGATTAGGGTTTTCTGGGGAAGATCTTGCCATACAATCATTCGTAGTTAAACAGGCACAAAAAGTGCGGAACTGTAGAGTCAAAACAAGTAAACAGACCATATCCAGAAGATACAGAAGCATGTCGGATCCAATTATATTGATTATTAGCGAGTCTGTGTACTTCACACAATCGAAGATTGCGCTACTAACCAATACGAGTGCCAAAAGTGTCTTCTGTAAGTAATTGGTGGATCAATGTTCTTGCAGTTAGCCATTCGATAAATAATACCAGTCTGTCTGAATGCGCAAATGTCCGTTACTCAGCTGCTTTCCGGTCACACAACCGCATAGAAAGGCAGCCTAAACAGTCTCACGGAACAATGGGAAGGTTGCGATTCGGAAACATTGAAATGTGCAATTTTCCGTCATCCAGGCTAGCAACGAATGCCTTGAGTGACAGGAAGTAGCAAACAAGTTGATTGATTTCTTTGCAGACAGCTCCCTAGGTTCCCAAAGAATGAGGGGTTGAACAGGCAAAAAGTACGTTCACCCCCAGAGGATGAGAGCAATATAGTCATGCTTTTCAGGGCATAGAAATATATTGAAGAAAGTTTGCACCAGTCTGGTGAATGATATCACTCAATCCCCAACTTTCCCTTGGTCGCGTAAATCCGTTACTGGCACCACCTGGTGGAGAGGTCCCAAAACTACTTTCCCTGAGATTCATCCAACCGGTCTGCTGCTACTTTCAAACCTCAAATCAAAAAACAGATCACTCGATCACAGATTTTTGATTTTTAAGGCAAAATAAACAGGAGGGTTAGGTTAGACTAGGCTAGATTAGATTAACCAAAGGAGACATAAATAGTGAAATTTGGAAGACACGAGTAGCTAGCTGGTTGTATGTCGGACCTAAGTTCATAAACTTTGAAGCCAGAATGCTGTGCATCTGATGAGAAAAACACAGGGCGATGTCATTTTCGTCCTATAGGACCGATAAAAGTGGCTATGTTATGGATACGTCAGTTGAACCTGGAGTATAGTAATTTTATTGGCGAATTTAAGAGTTTCTGGAAATAACCGCGAGTAGGAGAGGCAATGGAACAAGCGGTTGTCGGAATTGGGAATTGTAAAACACCTTGAAATGCCACGCTGAAGAGATTACTCCTGAATCACAGTGATTTGGATGTTGCTGGGCTCTAGTTTTCACACCACAGGCCCGCAATTGAAAACCTCTGCAGATCCGTGGTGTATCGAAATCACGAAGCTCTTACTATGAGCCTCACGACGCCCTTACCACGCTACTTTTACCAAGTCTTAGTTCAGTTTGGAGCCAACCGCTGCGCATGTTCATTCCCCCACTCCAAGCGGTGGATTGAACATCCAAGCCCGCTTGCGAGAGAACATCTATGAAAACAACCTTTTAATTCAAAAAGCCGTCGACAACTCATATTTGACGACCACTGTGGCCGCCGCTTATTGTCTCGGAAAACAATAGGGTTTTATTAGGTAATTTTCAATACACCACTCACGACAGCGACCATAATGCCAAGTTCACCCAGTCTGACATCAAAAGCCTCATGTGTGTCGGTGGCGTCCGAATATCTATTAGCACTGCCATAGTCACTCTATTCTTTCTTTCTGCATCCACAGATGTGGTTGCAGCGTCTCGATCATTGAATCAGCCTGATCACAAAACGAATCGTTTACTCTGTCCGGGTGAACACACCAGGGTTAGTCAGCCTAACTGCACCCGGCACGCTAAGCTTGTCGATCTATGATGAATAATGGTTCTGAAACTGCAGTTTGCGGCCCAGGGTCCATAAGTGATGACTCATTATCAGATAAAAGATATCAGATAAAATCAGCATCTCTCAAATTGAGTTGGTAATCAGTCAGAAGCTTCCTAAACGTTCGTAGTGCGCGGACTCACTGCTCCCCTTTGGGCTTCACGTCATGGTAACCTTATGTCAGGAGATGTGACATATTCTAAAGCACAGTGGTCAGACGTGAGTCACAAGACTCAACCATATCACTGGGCAGTCACATATATGCTGATCAGTGTTCCAAAGACTTTTGAACACAAAGCCCAGTCCCCGTACTAGAGACTGACAAAAACCGCTGGATGCAGAAATAATCATCCCTGTGATACCTAATAATCAAGACAAAGCGTCGTTCCGCAGAACTAGTATCAGTCAAACTGAAGTAAATTGTACCTGTGTGAGTTCACAAGACAAAAGCCACAGATGGGATCCATAAAGGTGTTATTGAGCTCTTAGACCCCAAATTCGAATGAAGATATGTCTGACCCAAGTGCGAGTACGTACAACCACTTTTTCACTACAGTAAACAGGCGGTCAGCTCTCGACCACCCATTCAATATGAAGTCCGAATACGATTCGAGCCTCTCTATTGTTAACTGTCTACGGCGATCAATAATCAGCACGAAGAAAAATCTCTCTTCACTGACAGTAAGTTTGTCACCTTGTTACCAAAGCCGAGCTGCACCGCTGCAATGATGCTGCGGGCTACATCTACTGGAACGCGGTTTCAACGATACTAGGAAGGCCGCCGAATGGCGAGTCCCTTGGAAAGCGTCGTATTACAAGGCGGTCTGGAGTAGTCGTACGGTCCCTGCGACAGGAGCGTGAAGGCGGAAACCTGCATTCCCCAAGCGACCAGCATTTCCACACTTCTGAAGCTGCAATGGTGCCTTATCCCAAAAAAGGGCGGTTTACGAAAGATCGTCTGCCCTACGACTGCCCAAAGGTGGACAGCGGAGGCTGGTGAAAAAACGAGCAAATCTGTCAGTGAACTCGATGCGGCTTCAGGTCTTTTTGACGGACGTAGCATTATCGGGAGTGAAAAATCCGTCATACTCTGGACAAGGCGGGATAGGCGACTCCTGTAAGTTTCAAAGAGAGTTGCTCAAGAGTTCTAAGAACCACTATCTCATGATTTGGAAAGCAGAACGAAATCCAACATTTCCTCACTCCCTTGTGAGACAGAACTCGAGATGAACGCTAAAATTGAGGTATTTCAAAACGAACCAACTTCTCCGGTATGAGTAACCATGAAGTATTATCCGTTTACCCACCCACCCCCAACATTATGCCTTAGTGATTCATTCAGTTACCAATCACCTAGTCGTAATTCTTCACCAAAATTTATTCCCGGTAAATAGACAAAATGACTCCCTAATAAATTTAAAGGATCTGTTAGCTTCGGATGGACCGTGTGGCAATCAGCAAACAGTGAATAACTGTGACTAAAGAATGTCTTCTAGAGTACACAGCTTGACTCTGATCAAGGCAGTGTGTGTACACGTTTTCCCTCGGAAATACACTGATTCACTCGAGACCATTGAACTCATCGCCTCCAACTGACGCCAGCATACCAACCATATCGATATGAGTTCGCTCGAAAATGAACCGGTAGGACGATAAAAACGATGATTGGAGGATGGGTAGAAAAACAAAAGAAGCTACGCCGACGGCTTTTCAAATAATTCTTATATCATGCAGAGTACCTGTTCTAACCGGCGTAACCTATGGAGCGTGAGCAATTCATCTGTCACCGGAGAGTTCCTTCTTCTTAACACCATCTGGCTTACCTCAGCATTACTAATCCAATGTTGTTACCAGACCAGACTGATTCTTCGGAGACGGCGACAGTCATGAACTGACATCTTTCGTATGTCCTCCGCGCATAGAGGCCACGTTTCTGATCCACAAAGGAGTATGGATCGCACCACTGCAGTGTAAACTCTGCCCTTCACACATAAACTGACGTCACTTCACAGCCATAGGTGTCAGAGGGTGGCGGAAGCTGTCCTGGCTTACCGATTCGAGAATCAATGTCATCTCAAACCAATCTGCCGGAACTTATACAAATGCCCAGGTAAAACTTGTATCCACCAGGTCGATTGACTCGCCTTCAAGCATGGAGTTTGGACTTGATCCCACCCAGTCTTGTAGTAGCACTTTACAGTTTGAAGCTGCGGAGCGCATGCCAAACCGTGCGGCAGAGTTATTAAGGTTTTTTTTCAAGTCGTTTGCATTCGGGAAGGATCTGAACCAAGGAAAGCAATATCGTCTGTATACTCAATGTTTGTGAGGGAACGTCCCGGGGGCGTTTCGACTCCCGAGGTTTCAGAGGCAGGCAGGGAAATTTCAAGCAGCAGATCAATAGCGAAGTTGAAGAGGAAAGGGGGAGAGGACAGCCTTGTCTTACATCACTGGACGTGGTTGAAAAAGCTTGCCGTGAGCACGCACAGTTTGCACACAGTGCCTTCATAGGGGATGGGAACCTAGAAGGGACATCTAGGATTGCCAGACACTGCCAAAGTTGCTGACGATGGACAGAATAAAAATCAGCTTTCGAGTCCAGAAAAGCGACCAACGTGGGACGTCTGAAGGAGTGGCGATGGTAAAGATATGGTCAACGCATCCTCACACAGGGCAAAGCCCAGCTTGATTCTCATGAATCTCTCACGATAACCTATCAAACTATACAAAATAATGCCGGGGAGATGCGACAGCATCAGACTGATGCTCCATTCGACTGGTATTCTGTTTTTGTCCCAAATCTTCTGTAGTGTGGTTGTCAGACCGTTCACCAGGAACTAAACACTTTTTTTGAAGAGCGCGGGGTGCAGACCATCCGGGCCAGGTGCTTTGTCGCGCTTCAGGATTGAAATCGCACGCTGGATTTTGGTTGCTGATGATGGGCTGGTGTCGCTGTTTCATTCGGGCCCCGTTGGTTCTTCCAGCGGTTGTGTTGAAGGAGACCAAGTGAACTGTTGTTTGAAGTGAGTAGTCCGTCGGTCAACACGACGATTTAAGAAGTGAATTGCTGTACCATCTTTTTCGCTTCACTGAGAGCTGTCTTTTGAACAGTTGATCGAATGAGTTGAAACAGGGCGCGGTTTTTGCCTGCAGCGAAGGCTTTCTCTAGCTCCTGGGCCTTCAAAATCCACCAGCGTTCCTTATCATTTTCAAGTTCCTGATCATCCGGTGCTTGAGGGATCTGCGTGCGCCGTTATAATCGCAAGTATGGACTTTCTGGCAGCAGTAAGATCCGCTGATCTCGATTATATCAAGTGTTCGACTAGTCGAGTGAGCTGGCCTGGACAAACAGTCCTGAAAGCTGAGAGCATTCCTTATTTAACTCGCCCCCATTCAAACTCCAAGGAATCTTCGTCATCCACATGACTGTGTGTGTCCAGTAGGTTTCTAGCCCGCTGTGAAACTTGTCGAACTTGATGAACGGAGGTGCTTCCCTTTGGAACGCGTAATGCTGACGGAAAGGGGAGTGATCACCGGACCCACATTTAATCATAATAAGAGTCCAGTTGCATACCGTAGAAGGAACGACAATCCTTAAATGAGGCTTTCCATCGGTAACTGATAGCCATTTGGCCAACTGAGTCCACGACTGTCTTGTAGTGAGTGGCCTCCAGGTAACTCGATGTGTGCGTTTGTGTTGGAAGTTCATACTGGCCAGGAATAGATGACGTAGACAACTGAAAATGTCGCTTCCCATTACCCGTACGCTGCCCAACGACTCCAAGTCCACCACCCTCTTATTCCAGATTTGGTCGTCCAACTTGGGCATTCATATCACCCGTCAAGACTACTATGTCCATCTTGCCGAACGAAGCAGTCGTGACGTATCTTGATGAAACTCGTTCTTCTCAGTCTCAGAACTGAAGACTGTTGGAGCGTATACTGATACAAAAAAACACCGTTTACCGCATCGACCTGCATTGATCTTAATTGAACTGCACAACCAGACAGCACAAGGACAACTGTTTGCTGGGATCCAGCCCAATAAGGCCAAGTGTAACTTCCAAAAAGTAGATACCATGAGCCATTGCTTAGGAATTACCGGATACCCAGAGAATGAAATATGGAACCTCTGAGCTCGTCCTAAACGACTTGAGGTGCACTGCCGAAGTGGGATCTTGTACGCGTGTTTCGGAGACACAATATGCATCGACAGATAGAAAAAGCAAGGCTTCAGCAAAGGATACCTTTTGCTTAATTTTACATAGCGTACGAACGTACGTAGATCAGATCTTTTGATTATATTGGTTTCCTCGCACAGTTGAACCTCTCGGAACTGAGTTCCAGTCAGTATAGCCAGCAGGATCATTGCAGCACAGAAGCCCGACCACCACCCCAAGGTGACAGCTTTATGTCGGGTCTGGTGGGAACATCATATCAGGAGTCCTGAAAGATACCAGAAGGTCTTTAGAAAGAACGATTTCCCTTTTGTAGACTAATTAGTTACCCCCATAGATTACGTTGGTTAAGCCCAGTAATTCGTATGTTTGAGGACCGTGTGGTTCACAGGACCCTCTTCTCCGAACATATAGAGTAGGAACGATAGAGCGTGAGGCAGTGACGAAGCAGGAAAGTCCTTGCCAGTCCATTGAGACGCTTTGGTGAGAATCATCTAGCAGAATGGGGACATTGAGACGAGAAACAGTAATGCTTAGTGATCCTGGGAAATACAGCTATTGGCGATCCTGCATCAAAACTATTCCGTACAACATGAAGCTCTCGTTCCGTGCTTTATCAGACAAATAAAGCAGTGTCACAGAACTGACTGGCCATCCCTCGAATAGCTGACTGTCGTTCGAGCATTTTTCTTAGTTTCGGCGAACTGTAGCAACTAGAAACACTACTTTGACGCAGAGATTCCTACCTTATGACCGACTGATAGTTAAATTAATGACTGAACTAAACGAAGCGTGCCTCTTTTTTTCAAAACACTTTTTAAGTGGGTTAGATAGGTGTGGTAAATCGATCAGTTGGATCCAAGTGATTTGCGGTGGTATGTGGTAAAACTCGGTCAAGCGCTGCACTTCAACCGACGTTCCAAGAGAAGCCAGACTACCAGAGAGCATACATCAGATGAGGCACGGCCGAAGCTATTGGCACCATTGCCAATTACTTACTGTGAGACAAAATTCGCAGTAACTTGGTGGTTTCCCACGACGTAACGATTGATACAGTAATTCAACCAAGCCCAGGATTTCCGTCTGAGAGCCAAGAGAGAATCATTCATTCTTGAAGCACGCTGAAACAGATATGCTGCCAAACGTGGCGCGAAAATGGCAATCCACACAACGACCGACTCAAGCGTCGCAAGAATCAAATCTACATGCCCCATAACTTTGGAATTCAATAATTAGTTTAAGATGCTAGATCTACTACCGAATACACAAGACTAAGTAGAATGATTTGATCCTAAGAAGGTAGAGAGATGTAAATATATGCGGCCCAACAAAATCAGTCCAAAAGGGACTAATCAAGTTTTGGTAAATTTCGCTGCCTTTCGTTGGAGGGGGACAAGGAAGCATAGCACAATATAGGTCAGAGTTCCACAAATGACACAGATACTCACCAGAATAACTTTAGTTTCATCAAGTTCATTATGCAGTCGCATTAGTCCATCAGCTTCCACGGGATTCTATGTTAGAAACGGTGAGCTGATTTTGAGGAAGGCAAAATATACCTGGTACCGTTGAAGATATTCATCAATCTTCTTGCAGCCGGCAGATCTAAACGGCACAGAAAAAGCATACTTTTACATTTCTAATGTTGGAAGAACAAATCAACAGCTAGTTTATGTGGGGGTCCGGTAGCCACTAACCCGGGATTTTACAAGGCTGGTTAACGACCTCAACAACTTCGTCACTAGAATCGAAGGAAAGAGATCGCGTATTGTGTGGAAGACAAACAAGAAAAACAAGCCGAAGAAACAAACCTAACTTGAATCTACTATTTGGTTGGGCAGTCGTATGCGGTACGGCGCGGATGAATGTCCAGGGATGAAGTAAAAGATGTAAAGATGTAATGCAGTGACTAAAGGATAGTAATTCAAACTCGTGAATCCTAAACCAATAGACAAATGCACATAGGTATACCAGGCAGGCATGGGCTGTGGCAAGCTAATCTTTTAGTAGGATAAACCGGAGCTCTGATCAAAATGTTATCAATACAGAGAACTTGTGTTGATTTATGGGCGGTTTTAAAGGGGACTTATCAAACATTCGGGAGTCCCAAAAACAGACTAAGGGGGTAAGTTAGGAATGAAGGGAGGATATCAATCAGAAACCCATGCACTACATTGATTCAACAAAAATTAGGAGAAAAAGGGATATGTTAGCCTATAAGTAGAGTGGTAATTTATGTCGTGCAAAGAGCGCTCCGTGCGGCCCCCTCTGGGGAATGCTGTAGCCCTTCGAACTCCTGGAAGAATATTCTTCATAGTACGGTGCCCTAATTCTGAAACGCGCGAAGGGACGTGTGTATCAAGCTACAGTACTGGTAATTTAGTGCAAAGAGCGCTCCGTGCGGCCCCCTCTGGGGAATGCTGTAGCCCTTCGAACTCCTGGAAGAATATTCTTCATAGTACGTACGGCTAATTCTGAAACGCGCGAAGGGACGTGTGTATCAAGCTACAGTACGGGCTGTCTTGTTGTATGGCTGTGAGACTTGGCCTATTCGAGCAGCGGACCTGAGACGTCTTCAGGTGTT